GTGTGCCTCGTCGATGTCTGCTCTACACGGTGTGTGATTCACCGTGTCTCTGCTTGACTCGGTCTCTGAATCTCCAGGTCTCTGCCTCACGTGCCTCTGCTTGAAACGGTCTCTGTCTCACCCTGTCTTTGTATGACATTTTCTTTAACCCACCAGGTATCTGCCTGACACTCTCTCTTTCTCTCACAAGTCTCTGCATGAGGCGGTCTGTGCCTCACCCGGTCTGTCGAACCAGGTCTTTGTACAGACGGCCTGGCACATGTAGGATGATACAGAGGACGATCGTGAAATCGCGATCGCGGTAGAGAACGCGGACATTTCAGACAGTCTGCGGTACACGCCGGATCATGCAGATATTAGTTCTGGCAGGGATCGTATGGGGACAATGAGAACCTTATTATGCCCACACGATGTGTGTACTGCAGGATGCATCTTTTCAATATTGTTACCAGTATCTGTAATCACTTAAGAGATTTCTTGGTTTTTGTATAATCTGTCTGCACAATTTTCCGTCGCAGGGGTTCGAGCCCGGTCCGGATTAAATCTCCCACCGACCTGGCAGATATGACGTTGGAGAATCGGCTCGTAACTTACGACTGGGAAAACCAATTCAGCAGTTTCCAGTTAACAACGCGCAAGGGGAGCTTCAAACCTTTGTGCTGGATGAAGAAACCCACACTCTTACCGGTAAGTTCCAGTGTAGGCCGATAGTAAATCCGAGGAACTTCATTCAAGCGAAACACCGAATGTCATATCTGGCAAATTTCGTTATCTCTGAGGGACAATTTAGTGTTAATTGTGGTTGTCAGCCACGTAACACCCAGCAAACACAGAACTATGACGTCATACCTTTCTGTATGCTTCGTGGTTACTTGTGTTAAATACGCTAATGAATTAACCTTTATGTTGTTTCAGGGCACAGAAAACGTCGAGTCGCGTTACCCAAACATTAGCAAACCATACGAAGAAACAAGCACATGTCATAATCGAAAGTCAAAACCACATCGAAGGAAGAAGCCCGGGCAAACGGAATCTGAAGGAGAGGCGGACGAAACGTCCGAAAGGGACGAAGATAATTATGTTGATGAAGAGCATGGGGATAAAACCAAAGTGTATAGCAGCATTAGTCTGCAAGAGTCATCGAGACTGAACACGAGCACTCGATCTAGGAGTACCTTCGAATTACAATTGTCTGTTGTAGTATACTACATTGTACTGGCCTTCAGGACATGAACCCGGGACATAGCTCACTTCTTTGTATAACAGTGTAATTTATTTTTGTACATACTGTAATATAAATGATATTGTACATAAGATACCAACACGTAGTTGTAAGCGCATACGATTCTGAATAAAGGATTTCGTTGAACACTTAAAAATATTCACGAAAATGAATGTTTCATTTTGTGTATGTTGGTATTGTGCGTGACATTCTTTTGCTGTGCTCAGACTGTACTTACACCTGGCAAGAGATGTTGTATATATGCAATAAAATATCATAGTGAGATAACATTTTAAAATATTAATATGGAGGCCAGTTTATTTTGTACTTCCTTCAGATTTTCTTTTGTAGATAACCTTTCACACATTCGCACAGCATAATAATCTATGCTCCCGCGTATAAGGAATTGAGCAATTTTTCAAAAGTTTTTATTTTCCAAAATCATTCAATATTAGCTCAGAATCACGAACATTTACGAATTTCCCATGTCCTGTACCCGTAGCCTCGAGCTATACCCTCGAATCGCTTGCACGGCCCCCGTATTTGGTCGGCAGTGGCGGGCACGAGTCACGATCTGTCTCCGTTCTTCGGGATGTACAACGGCCAGCGGACTCCGCGCGAATCCAGTCCACGAAACCCAAGAGACGTTCACCGGGGTGGTTATTAAGCGGCTCGTTTTGAGTGAAGATAAGGTATCAGCAAGGTTCCGAATCAACCGTTACATATTCGTGACGGATGAAAATGGGCTAGGGCGTATAATATTAATGGGCTTTTTATTATTTTATTTAAAACCTAGTTAAAATTTCTCCCATTTCATAACAAATTTTGTAATTTTCGTGAAAGGAGGATGGTCTATATTTTTCTATCTCAAAGCAAATATTAATCGCAGGAGTACTTATGATAAGACGTAATAAATATGGACCCCTTCGGATTTCGCTGACAGTACAAATACAGGGCATATATCTGTTTCTGCATTTCGCAAAAGTTAATTTCGTTTGCCTTCGCTCGATTCTCAAGGCGACACGTGTTTATTCTCGAAATGTCCGTGGTCTAACACGGTGTAGCTCTCAGTTTTATAGTGCACGAGGTCCTCCTTTCTCCGGTCAGCCACAAAATCGTACACCATTCTCACCACGGGTGGAAGCCTTTTGAGTCCAATGCAGTCGGCCAACTCTGCGAAATAGTCCCACTGCAAAGATCCCATTTCGTGTGCGCAAGACGGAGGCATATCCAAGGCAAGTCGTTTCTGAAAATCCCTGTCCGCCTCCTCGTCCATTTCTTCCTTACTGGGCAGTTTGATGGAACCATCCAAGGTCCTCATAAAATATTGTATCTGTTGGCAAGAATACAGTTCACAGGACGCACTACATACGAACAGCTCTCGAATTCTTTTACAGTCAAAATATGTTCATGAAAGTTGGTATAATTACTGAAAATGGTTAATGATTAAATCCATTTATAATACGGGGTATTCGTCCCTGATGACAGAGGCATATAAAGTCTCCGAAACGTTCGAAACTCTTTCCACATTAACATGGCCACCGATCGCCTGAGAAGAGCTCATCGAATCCAGTCGATTATAGAGAACCACCATCTGGAAACTACGTTCGTCACTGAATGTATCGCAACTTCTCAGTCGCCTTCTGAATAAATGAATTCAATTACCTGAAAATGGAACAGCGGGAAAGGTAGAACCTTGAAGGGCAAACCCACGAAACAAATACTCGGAAGTTCGGTGTGAATCAGGTGCTTGTAGAGGGGCATGACTCGGCGGCCCTCAGTTCGAACCTTGCACTCCGGAGTCAGAAAAGGGAACTCGAACCTGTAGCCTGGAAGTCGGAGGGACACGAATATTGAACACGTCTCAATATTATAACAGCTTTCACATCAAATTCGGGCCTTCCGTGTTATGAATTATTAGCATCGTAACCGATGACGTCGTACATTGCAAATACCTAATTACCTGGTGATGGTGATATTTCAGGTTGCCATGGCGTCTAGTATAAAAGTATGTTGTGCCGTGTAATCTGTTAGGATATGACCGACGTTTCATCATCAAGGCGATACCAGGCTACGTCCCCGCAAAATAATAATTACTTTCGTTATGCTCACCGTAATAATTCTGTTCCCGTTCGTTTGCAACTTCAGTACCGCTCAGCTTACCTGTGCAATAAATCAGAGCGTCAGCTTCTGCAGTGGAATCATCGTGGAAAGTGAATCCTTCCCTGGAGGCCGATTTGATTCCTGGTACTTGTTTTACGTTTGATGGTAAGTACAACAGAGGTTCGGGTAAATTATGGCTAATATAAACCTGAAATTAAATAAAATTACGATCTGCACATAAAGATTAAAACTGTAACACAATATATGTCAATAAAAGAATGCAGGCAATCCAAATTCAAATATGTGTTGAATGCGATAAAGTGTTATAGTTTGATAACAAATCATACTGTGTCTGACAAATAGCAGTGGAATCATTTTACATCATAATGTGACGTTTATAATTCATGCTAAAATAAATTATGTTTCGTAACTTATGTCGTAACAGCGTCTGTATTAGTGTGGTGGATTTTAACCCGTTGACAGAGTAGAACCACAAAACTCAATGTAACCTAAAAGAGCCCCGTCGGTTTCTGATTCTCTCTTCGTGGCACGCAGTTTCAATTATTAAGTGAGGAAGGAAAGAAGTAGTTGCATTTCACTGATGTCAGTTCTGTACAAGCGTAATTTCCGACATCGATACTTCCCGTTTTGGCCGGCAGATCGCAGGGCCGCAATATGTCCACCTGACGACTTTCGTCATCCGCCCGAAGGACATTCCAAAGTCTGGTTTTGAGGACGTGCCTAGTGGTACAACCACTGTACTAAATTTCATCCAAATCCGTCAAGTGTTTCTCGAGTAGAATCAACTGGACAAACAGCAAATCATTTGCATTTAAGCAGGAGAATCTTACCTCGCCCGCTACCTCCGACAACTCCATCCCGATGTCTGCCCCAGAGGAGGCCGCTCCTAGGACAACGACGCGGAGATTTCTGAACGCTTCGGGCGATCGGTAGGCTTTGCTGTGTTGGATCGATCCTCTGAATTCGTCGATTCCCTCAATTTCTGGTATGTACGGTGCACAGTAATGCCTAAATGGATTAACTTTTTCTATTATTACTACTATTTACTTCTGATGTTCCGTTCATCCTTCTTAAATCCTAATGAATGCACGGTAATGAGAGAGGAAATGTCAGCATCCCATTCAGACGTAACTTGATAGAGTTGGCCACTGTGTTAGAAACTGAATTGTGGAAAATGGTCTCTAAATCGTTCTGAGAAGATGAAGACAAAATCGAGTGAAATGAGATTTCTACGTAATGTAAATCATCGTAGCGAAAATATACGTCAACAACTGGAGATTCTCAATTTGAATGAGAGGATACAACAGAAAAGGAATTACTATCAACATGAACGTAACCAGACTACCTAAACGACTCTTCCTTTACAATTCTAAGGAGAAAATAAGTGTTGGCAGACCAAGAACACGATGGACGGGTGAAATGTTTTTAAACGTTGTAATTTGTTACCTTTCACTGTGAGAAACAACTTTATAGTATGAGAATAATAATGTCAATACTAATAATAATATTTATATATATTAATAAAAGACAGTGACATCATTTCTTCAATGGAACTAATTCTGCTTGATCGTAGACAATAATTATCCGGCGCAGTGGCCACGCGGTCTGAGGCACGGACCTCGTGCGCCTGGGTTCGAGTCCCACTGAAGGCATCGATGTTTGTCCGCGTCTCCTCTTCCAATCTGGTGGGCAAAGACTGACCACGGAAGGCAAGGCGAAACCACCGTGGTACTTTCGCAAGAAAACCCCGAAAGGGGTCACGACGGTCAAGTTTGACCATAGAGATAATTTTTTTGTAGTCAATAATTACTGGCGTGTAAAACATCAAATAGCCATTTATTACTACACAAGAATGTGAGATATTTTGGCACAACTGTATCTGTGTAGATGATTTATACATAATCTTATAAACAGCGTATTCACAAATTTCTTAATCTGGCAGAATTAATTAATGTAAATGAAACACTAATATATAGCTTTAGACTGCAAGGTAAAATGCAGAAGTTTTACAAGTTGTCAATATAAGAGTATTGCTCTTACCCATTGCAGACCATCACAGCATCAAATTCCAGTTCCTCTCGCTTCTTCGTCTCCAGGTCTTGAATCGAGACTGACCACGACGTTCTCCCACCGTCAACAGGAACGGGTGTCACCTTATTTACGACAGTTCGAAGCTTCGACGGAAATAAAATCGCCATTACAAAGAGAATCAACAACTAACAACTGGTTCTAAACAAGAAAGAATGAAGATCGTAAGATTATTTTTTAAAGGGAGTAACAAAAATTTCACTGGGACATTTCAGGAACTTGTGTCTGGACACATTTAAATGTAAATGACGTACATACTTAAAACTGTTTTCAGTTTGACCCCGCCGTGTGTCGTGTGGCGTCCCTAACTTAGGACCTAGAGTCCGATGACGTGCTCCTTCGTTAGGGCCATCGTACGCCTCAGGAGACGGTGACAAATGAGTTTGAGGGAAAAACCTGCTCCAGGCCACTTCGTCCACCACGAATCTCATTTGAAACCACCAGGGACTGAATTCACCTACGCCATGTACGAGTCTGACCATAAGCTAGACGATTTCCCATTTAAAATAAATCTGGAGGTTTGTCACGACAAACAGACATCGAACTCTGTGGACATTATCCATTGTCTTGATTTTTGTTAAAGAATACGACGTTTCGGAGACTCGAGTCTGTCTCTGTCAAAGGGTTTTCTCACTGTATCAAGCGATCTAAAAGCCTACGAACTGTTCCTCCAATTGCAACAGCTTTGTCATATGTTCAAAAATCACACCCGACGCTAAATGGCTTGCTTCTTTGATACGGCATCACAAAATACACAAAGCAAAATGTGCTCGAATTTCGTTCCAAGCTGTATAATCTGAAAGCATCATAAAATATTTTAAAAAAAACATTTACTTTGAAAATGAGAAACTAAATATCAGATGTAATTTCAGGAAAATCGCTTGTGTTTTAAACACCACTAGCGTGCCAGACCTAAATGCACGTTCACAAACTCACCATGACGGCTTATTCGGAGAATAAAGGGACATTTCCACAAGGGTGTATGGAAGTCTGCGTCTTAAAAAGCAAAACTGATATCGTATTAAGAGGAGACAGCGGTAATTAATTGAGGTGGATCTAGAGAAATATAACAACAACGTTAATGAAAAAAACGTACTCTGATGTGTTTGTATAAGTCGCGATGCTCAGCGTATCCTTTGAGGTACTTGAGAACTTCGGTGTGATGCACGAAAGAGGTTTCTGTCTCGTGAAATGGAAAATCAGGAAACGGCATTATTTCCTTAGGAATATTCGTCCTGAAAGTAGAAATATTACATCAACAAACAAGAAATAACACCCGCTATATCGCAGGACAGACACAAAATGAACAGCAAGCAAGTTTCCAGCAACTGACCTTGAACTGATTAAAATAGCGGCAGATTTACTGCATATTTGTTTAACGAGATAATAAATCTTTTTGTAGAGCTCCAGTTGAACTAAAATAAAACGTGACACACTCGTACAGCAGAAGAACTTGGATCTGCATATAAATAATGGAACATTCCATGAACACAGACTCATTTCTACTTGTATTATTCCGATTCAGAAACTAATTATGTTAATATAAAGACATAAGATAGAATTATCGTTAAAATACCATTTCAGCAAACTGAAAGCAGTGACTATCGGAATTTCCGGTCTCGTTATCAGAATGGCGCTGTAAGTAATAAGATAATTTGTATGTAAAATAAACCTACGAACAGAACATTGTAAACGGGTGATTGGTATAATGGAATAAATACTTCATCGCTTGCAGAGCGTATTTACGAAAGAAATCATGGGATTTTCCTAAACCACATAATTTCCCTTGTCACTTAGTCACCGAATACTGAAAATGTACCGTTTAAGTGCATTCGTTCTAAAAATTAATTAAACCGAAGGTAAAGTAAAGTTTGTCCCACTATACGCCATGTAGGCGCTTGGGGGGAGAGGAGGTATAGCTCCTCTCTTCCTTGACCTCGGCACTAGATGGGGCTGAGTGGTCAGCATCACGCCCCGGCCGGCTTTACCCCCGGGAAAGGACCCCGGTACCCATTGTAGAGAAGGCTGGGTGGGCCCCAGAGCCGGTCTGGACGCAGAGGCTAGAGGAAAGATCCTCTGCCCCCGTCGGGGATCGAACCCCGGTCGTCCAGTCACTATACTGACTGAGCTATCCCGGTAATATTGTATATTTTTAGAACATTACATAGATTGCAGTGAATTAGTGTTTTGTGTTATAAAATTTGCAGGTGAGCGGTTCTACTAGATGAGATGCTGGAAGATTTTTGTCTTCGCAATTGCATCCAGAGCACGGTAGATGCGATGACGAAGACAAATATCCATTGCGGACGTTAAACCGCGGTAGTCCTGCCTCTAGATATTCACTACACGACTGAATTCTACAAAAATAATAATAAACTACAAAATATTATGATATGCACGAATTGAATTCTTCTGTAAACCTCAGTCCTGTGGTAAACAGGCGTATAATGGAAAGGCACGAAATATTTTATTAGCATTACTGAAGGCAATAAGAAATGTATTCACTTTAGGTTTCTATACATGCTGGAATGTATAGGGACGCCATATTCATCAGTTTCCGTAAACTCCGTGTAACACCACGTGCCGCCAACTTCTCCCGCTTGTTCAAACACTTGAAATTCAAAATGGGCGCTGTCAGCAGCAAGATGGCGAGCAGCGCACAAACCTGCAGGCCCAGCACCAATGACAGCAACACGGATGCGAGACATCTTGTTACTTCAGTTTACACTGCAATTTGAAATAAAAATTGCTCTGGGTCAACGTGAGAGTAGAAATCCTGCTTTGGTAGAAGGTAAATCTTTTGCTTCTCTGGTATAAAGATTCCAGTTTCTCACACAGAAATAAACGTAAGACATGGGATGAATAAACTCTAAGCAAACCACCATGAAATAAAGACAAACTCAGGAATTTTCCAGGACTTCTCCAGCAGTTCTCCAGGACATCCCAACGACCACTCGATGAACACGATAGGAATTCTCCAGGACAAACTGACCCATCGTAAAACAACAACCTTATATAATCTACCCTTAACTTACTTGACTTAACCTAACCCAACCCAAAACGCAACCTAATCCAATCAAACTTAAACGAATCCAAAATAACCGACCCGCATAGGATCAAACCCTCCGCCGCTTAAGGAATTCCAATTGACCTTCCAGCACTTCTAAAGGATTTCTCCAGCAATTCTCCATGACAAGAAATTTCTCATAACGTCTTCAGGACTTATCCGACACTACTCTAGGACTCTTCCAGGATTTATCCAGGAATTTTCATGGAATTCTCCAGGACTACCCAACCCAACCTTCTATAACCTACCCTTAGCACAGTCACAAGACTACAATATCAAAGAGGCTCCACAGACTGTACTGACACAGACTGTACTGACTTCATTGAGTGGTCCGCATACTGGGCACTCCCTACAAGGTCAGCGGCCATAATCGGTGGATCCAGTTCTAGCTTCTCAGGGAAGAGTCCTCCATGCAGTTAATTAATTCTAAGTTTCGTAAATATATTTTCAGGGCTTTAAGGACGCGAGACTCCATTAACTATGACGCCCGAGTTTTTTCACTAAAAATTAAGTAAATTTCGTTCACGTGCAAATGGATGTTTCTAGTACGTCTTTCTTACAGCCACGGAACGTGTCATCTTGTGAGATGTGCGTTACGCTAGAAATAAGGACTTCATAAACCATCTTAACACACCGACATTCGAACCCAGACAGACTTTCGGGATTTATATTGTCTTTGTTCCTGTAATCTCGACCGAAAGAGAGAAATCTGGTTTTCCCGTTTCATCTAAACTTTTTACTCGCCTTCTCAAGAATATTTAATTTTAACTTGCCTTTATATTACGCATCGCCGCTAAAAACTGTAAATATAAATTCATTTAAAACTTTTCCTTTTGTTTTTATACATTCTGTTAATTGGTTTCACAAATGAAGCTCTCGCGGAAATATTAAACTACGTTCTTTTCTCAGTTTATTATCGCTGCACAGCGCACTTCAGACTGCAAGAAATCTGTTGCCCGACTAACCCGAGGAAGACAATGGGCCCCACAGCTATTCACATTCATACAGAAAGATTGAGTAAAATCATTATTAAAACCTTTCAAAATAATTTAAGCACATTTTACTGTAAAAGCAAATGATTTTAGGTTAAGGGGTAATTTTTTCAAGGGCAATGTTCAATCCGCTCAGCAACACTGCGAGTACTCTGTCATTCTAAATATAAAATATTAATCATGTAATTACGAAATCTGTTTTTTTTTATTTTTTATTCAAGCAGGAAGAAATGACTCCAGGCTGACTATACAAGACATAAACTTCAATTACATTACGATTTAGACAGAGTGTGCAACTGGATCAATCCAGGTTTAATTTATATAATTCGAGATAACGACTAGCGTAAATTGAGTTAAATTGTTTTGGGGCATAATTATCTTTATAGGTCCATATGATAAGGAACTACTAATAATAATTTCAAACAAAATCAAATCGTAGAACTCTTGAAACATTATTTCCTTCCGTCCCGGGGATACAGCCTAATTTGGAGGGCAAGCAATCTCATGCAACAGGTGTCTGAGAATTAACATGTATTCAGCTTACAGATGATAGAATTCTGACCACGTGACAGTCGTGAGACTCAATTCCACCCACAAACAAGTCTCGGTGACATCATGGGTTAGAGCCCCGACAGAGCAACGTTTTCTCTTCAACACAACGTCCCTTAGAAGAAGCTAGTCTCCTTCTAAGGGACTAACTCCTTCTCCCACTTATTTTACCTGATGACGGAGACAGATCCAGTCCCCGAAACGTCGTGTTATGAGAAACAACAGACGATGGATAAAATGTGAACCGAGACTATCGCAATACACCGACGTCAATGTCCTCGTTCGTTCCGAAAGGATTAACAATCTTCAGTTTTGATTATTGCAAGGAAAACCCGATTTATTATACTTTTAATTTCGTGTAAATATTATTAAATTAATCTCTGTGCCCCCAAATAAATCTACAAAGAACGAGAAAGCGAAACTCACCTTTCGCGAATATTTAGTTGGGTTCACTCCTTACGTCTTTCTTGGAAGCTGAAGACTTCTTTTCGGTTATTTCGTTCACGATTATTCGAAATGGAATTTCTTTTTGAGTTAAAAATAAATAAAAACTTGCGAAAAAGTGGCCAACGCCCGTGCTCACAGCTGAGCCCTTTCTGGTCCGCGCGGAGAACTTCTTGGTCCATATATACGAGCCACAGAGAGGCTGCAACGAGGGAAGGGCGCAGAGGAAAAACAACAGATAACAGAGAAGTGAACTTTGCATCAGAAGAAGGCGATTACTTTTTCATTGTACGGTTAAGCTTGTGTGAAAATGTCTTACAACACAATAAGAACTCCAAAGAAATGTGATCCTTCCAGTGCGCCCACATTTTATGGTAAATAAGCTATTACCAATTATTATTGATAATAGTCTCAGAAATAGTTATATTTTGCAGCTAATGAATTAACAAATGTTGTAGGCCTGCACGATTTCTTACGGCTAAGACATAATTTTGTTCGATACTGTCCATTGTCTGGCGAATACTGAACGACGTTTCCGGAGATGACTACTCCAGTCTTCAGGTGATTGCCTGTCATTTCACTGGTGCATTTATTTCATGCTGATATTGTCCTTATGGACTGTAATGTCCTGTGGACTTGTAGGCAGATGTCAACAATTCGGAGGAACACGCTGTCTTCTGATATTAACATGTCTGCCGTGAGAATCTGTTGGTGTACAGCCAACTCCCGAAACGTCGGCTATATGAAATGTAACTTAAGATAATTTACAGTATCCAATGATAATTTTTGTGAAATGAATCAGTCACAAGCCTCGAGAGAACAACGTCGCTCGCATCTGTTTAAATTTAGACTTAAATGCGTACAAACGACCGAACTTAGTTTACTTAGACACGATTGAACGTAATTTTCCGCATCTTCCTCCGGCCAACACAGAGACGAAGATGGTCCATTTGGCTCGTGCGGACGCTTATTTAAAATTATGTCCTACTCTGGTTTCTTGCATCAATTGTTTTTCGTATTCAGCTCCAGGTATGCACTACATGCACGTAGATTTCAACTCTGGTTAATTCCGAGGGCCCCGCCCCCCCCAAATCCCCGGTTATATGCTCCTGTTTTTCACCCGAGAGCCTAATTATTTGCATTTTTTCCTTTCTCTGCTATAAAGCAACAGTTTATTCGGTTTCGGTGCAGCCAAAAAATTGTTTTATTGAAATTTCGGTGATGTGTAAAACCACAGTCAGTTGATTCGTGAAGATCTCTGGATTCATGAAGACCGCAGACATTCAAATTAAATATATCGTTTCGTGCAATGGATCGAAACAAAAGCTGTAATTATTAACCAAATGTCGCTGCTGGCATGAAACTGAGCATATGCCCTTGTTACTCATCTTCCTATTGCAAAATTACCAGGAAGGCCGCAGACCTTCCAGACACTAGAATGAAGTTCTTTTCCCTCTGAATTAACACTGCAATGACGTTTTACAAAAACTCCTTCTGTATTTGGTGGATGTCCCTCCAGCTTCTTATAAGTCACTCTAAAGGCTTCTTCTATATGCAGCTTGTTCATTTTTTTTTTATTGCAAACAAGGAATCTGTAGGCGTCTTCTTGGCGACAGAACGTCACTTGTGTAATATCTCGAAAGTTTCGCCATTACTGTCAATTAAAATCTTGTTAATACATTTTATTACAAACAAATATGTCGACACGTCATTCAAAATCAACCACAGTGAAGTGATATTTCCTTCCATTTGTCTGGCAACTAATTACGTAAAACCACTACACACTTTTAGCTAACACTTGTCAAGATATCTGCGGTCTGAGGTCAAACTGAGAGGCCGATCACAGGTTGTGACGCCACGCACGAATGCAACAAACAGCTGGTTGGGGGGAGAGGGGGTGTTTTCACTCTCGTGTCAAAAGGTCAGTTCTAGATAACCAACTTAACCGGTTCATGTTAGATAAATCACGTTCCCATAAATGTAGAAAGACTTTTTACTGGAAAAATTCAAGGTCAGCGGCCACCCAATTCGCTGCATCCGCTGGGTGAGTGACCATGGAGTTTCCTTATGGAAAGAATTACAGAAGAGGGCTTCATCGACCAACGCCAAGAGGTGGTCGCGTTAACTAGAAGATTGTGACAGTCGCTCGGACGCTAACTGCGAATGAATTTAATAATTATTCGCTGACAACCGACAATAGGCGATTCTGCAGCCTGCATGCGATGGAATAACAAAGTCCTTCGTAGATATCGAATGAGTTATCTAGAACGGAGTGAACTCGGAAACCTCGCCTCATCAACGAGAAGAGGCACAAACTTATAACTTATCGACAGCCAACGAGTCCTTCGAAACAGTGGCAAGGATGAATTATATTTCTTTAAAGGAGATTGCACTGTGAAAACGCGAAGTCTTATGGGTTGTTGTGCCGCGTAGTTTGACAAAACTTCTACCAGACTACACGGCGCAACAACCCAGAAGACCGCCACCTTCGTAGCTCGCTTGCGTTTATTTTTTTCAATTTTCGTAAAATTATAAGCTACTTGCTTGTCTCGTGTTTTTACATACTGCCCCTCAAAAATTCTTCGTTTACCCTGCATGTAAAACACGCTTCGAAATCTTTCCCCATTCCACCAATTTCGCATTTGAATGAACACTTAACGTGTGTTCCAAATTAAATTGCCGCTCTCAGCTTCAGTACTGCAACAGATAATTTGTTAAAGAATAATCGTATTTTATGAACTGTCTACCCTACAACCTTATAACGTTCTGCAAACTCTGTGGACATCCCTAATCTGATCAATACATTGTGGTTTATTACAGAGTATGCTATAATCATCAGACTGTATTTCATGGGCGGTAACTGTGCAATTAGATCAATTGCTAATTCATTTCTACCAGACTACACGTTTAATTTCAGCACAAATATTACCTCTGTTCACCCGAATACCTGAATCTTCCGTGTACACATGATATTGTTAAGCTTGGTAACAGAGCTGGCATAGTTGCCTTTCTGAAGAAATTCAGATACTCATTGTAATTTGCAACAACTTTTACGACTGTGAAAATGTCGAACGTGGTCTTCTGGGCTATGTCGCCATCTTCAGACGAAGGCGATATGTTGTTCGGGGGCGCTGGAAACCACGTGGAAGGACAAGGGCACACGGAGACGGCGACCGAGTGCAGGGGACCGGCCATTTGTTTCACAAGACGTGAATGAAACTGAGCACGCTAAGCTGATCGTGTCTGTCCGTCTGTCAGTAACTCGAGAACCGCTTGTCGGATATTGATGAACGTTGTTAAATTGGAGGCCACCGCAACTTCCTAAAATCGATGGCGGATGCACGGACATGTGAGTTTGGTGTCACTTTATACAGAGAAAGTCCTGAATCAATGTATCAGAAAAGGCGTACGACGAACACATGAAAACTATATTTGGCTTCTCGTTTTCTTGGTAATAATTTGTGAATCGCTGCAAATAAGCACTGGAATTTTGTATGTTGGTAGATCCGACAAATTTTGTTTCAAATATTGTTTAAAATCATCAACTGAAACAAGAAACAGGAGCATATATTTGAGGTTATGTCAGACAGAACGTGGGCAAAATCCGCACCGTACTGTACTGAAGTAACTTTTTTTTAATTCCAAGAAGAAAGTATATAATATTAACACTAACCTGAAACTGTTTAAAATTTGCAAATATCAAGAAATCCGACTGAACGAAGGCTCGATCACACAACAAACTTCGCACGAGTACAACGCCCTATCCCCATGAACTAAAGTGCATCTCGTTATTGGCATTAACAACACAAAGATTGCGAGAATTCATCTTAAAGTTGTCTGTATAATTAAATACAAATAAGGCAGTGTACGACTGAGAAATTGACATTTGTAACACCTGCAGAGGTAGTTTAGCAATATTCGATTTAATGCGTAAAATAAACTTCTAAAATAAAAATAAAAATATTTTGAATTGTGTAAGTATTTAAATATTATTTATATATCATATTCAATCTGCAGTTTGAATTACGCCAGAACACACAGCCGTAAGCACATAACGGTGTGTTGAGTGTAGTTCGGCTTTCAAGAAACGTCGACGTCGTAATGGAGACAGAGGGAGATATAATGGAGTATGAGAGTTCTCCAACTCTCTTTTGAAAAATAATTCTGCAAAGGTAAGGACGTA